GCAGTCCAAGTTACTTTACTGCATACAGCACACAAAAGAAGGGGAGAATAAGACAAAAAGAGATTCAAAGTGACAATAATAAGCAGACATGTGAGAAAGAACGAGTAGTAACATGAAAAAGAGTATGACATTCCATTGGGTTATGGCAAATTAGAAAGAGTGTACCCATCTGCGCCACTGATAACCATTCTGGGTCACACTGTTAATAGTCTGCATCCACTGGTTTTTATCATCCTAGGGACCACAGCCAGTTAGACTACACCTTCCTACTTAGCTCAAACCAACTGTCGATGTCATCACAGACTGATGCCAAACTGATAGTTTAACCCCTCCTAGCTCTTTTCCAACTTAGAGGTGAAAGTGAAAGATGGACTGGTCACTGAACGTCAGCAGTAGGTTCCACTTTATTTGTTCACTACTATTAATGTAGTGATAAAATCAAGCATTTCCTGATTTTCATCTTATGTCCCGTTTTTTGATGTAGCCTTTTACAATATATCAAAAATTGCGCTTGGTAGTTACAATGAAGCTTATTAATCGTCTCAGATGTGCATTTTTGTGAAGCAGTGTTAAATTCCATCTGAAAAATGAAATTTTACGCATGAAAATTGGTCACTGTTCAAGTGCTTAACCGAACAAAGCGCTGTAATAATATAGCTTATTAATGGACACTGTACTAGTTTATGATTTAATGTTTCTTTTCACGTTTCAAAATTTATCAGATGACTTATTGCATATGAGAGGCATACGATAGTCTTCTAAACAAAAAGCACAAACTGTAGAGTAAACATTGTAATGTATAGTAAATTTCATGTTTTGACATATGAATGTGTTTTTGCTATCGTATAGAGATATGGATTTCTTCATTTCTCTTACCTGTTATTCACAGAAAATACATAGAAGCTGAATTTTTAGGTAACATTGTAAAACAGCTTGGGGAATAGATAAGTGTTCACGTAAAATACTTTATCCACACTTCTATGACTATAGCGAGTCCGAGTGGTGAGGCGTTTGGAGCAAAACGATGTTCGCTAGAGAAGCATTTAAAAAAGATGGAACACTGAAAAGCGTTTCGATCTAGATTAATACTGTACACGTTTTAACTAACTATATTACGAATAAGAGATGCACGAAAATCGTGTGCCTCTGGACTGTAGATTTGGTGCTGAAAAATAATATATCCCCTTTAAAGCATAATGTATATGACCTAGATACTTGGTGGTGCAGCGATTGTGAACTGATGAAAACTACTTAATTAGATCTAAACAGATGTATAATACTCTTTGATTTATCCTTGGTTCTCTTGCTGATATCGACCCATTACGAAACTCTACGTTCTTTTTGTTATTTTAAAAATGTGATACGGGTTACAATTGGGTTCGAATAAAACGATACTTTCGATCTCTGAATCTATATCCAGAGGAAGAGAATGGCAATTAACAGTAGATTCATCTGTGCTAGCATATAAATGGAATTATAATCTTCATCCTATAGTTTAAACTACGTGAGTAAATTCTTTCGACTTATTATTTTTCTTCGCATGTGTAACTCTTATTTATTTACCGTGTTCTGTTAGTATAATTTGATCATATATTTGGATGACTATCACAAAACAAAGATTTCCACAAACATAAGTAACTACAGTGTCCTACTTTATTCCTAATACGAACTTATGTAGACTTTACTGGACTGAATTATTTACGGCAGCAAGATTATTGAACATTTCAAGCTGTTGAGAGTGAATGTATCATAGAGTTTATATGTGTAGTTAGCGTGACAGTCACATAAACTTGGAAACATATGTTATCGTCTCACAAGTCACTACTATTTTAAAGCGATTTTACCGCGACCAACCCTATTTATTTAGGTTGTATCACAGAATAACTTAGCATGTTCCTTGAAATTCATTTGTCTACAGCTCAATTTTAATTAATCAGTCAGAGACAAACGTAGTAGATGAATAGCGTAGCGTTTCGATAAAACAAGGGTTTCGTTTTAGTCAAAGCATTCATTCTTACCAACCTCAAATCTTCATTCAGAAGAACGAAGCATAATATCGAATTTCTGTTCAATTAAGAAAGTATGCACATTTCTAGTATTGCTATGAATAATCACACGCTTTAGTAAGTTTGAGACTCAATGTCCTCTACGGAGCAGCAAAATACTTATTACTTAATGATGTAAGGTACCGAACATGGCAATAGTAAACAACATTCTGTATTGTATTTTGAACAGTTTAGTATTTTGTGAATAAATGTTTTAATACTCTTCGGGTTCTACAAGTGTTATTTAGTATTTAGTGATACACTGCAATTGCCTATTTTCATACACTAATGACTTGCTGTAAAGTTGCTTTCTTCAGATCGTGAGCATTTATTATATGTTGTGATGGAAGCTTAATTTCATGCATTTATTCCCCTTGATGAATTTGAATAAAGCAAGAACGAAAGTGGTTTGTGCAGAATAATATGGTACCATCATTTATTTCGTAGGCTTCTCATCAGCTGCTTACAGCCTAAATACATAATGAGGTTTGCGTACAGAAAAGTTTTAACATACTTGCAAATTTTTACATGTTGCCAGGTGTATAACTTATCATCTATCGGGTAATTTCTGTGCACTAATATACGTTAGAGTAAAAGAGTGTAAGAAGCACTTACATTAGAAAGAATGTTGTCTTCAGAATGTGTAATATAGTAGAAATTTCTGCTAAATAAAATGTTAATGAATATGAATGTCTAGTTCAGTTTTAATAAAGTATAATTATGTTTCAATAGTTAACACACAGTGATAAGTTTTGTTATTGGTAATATTTCGAGCGAAATTACTGCCAGTGTTCACACCACTTATCATTGTGTGTAAACTATTGAAATATAATTTTACTTTATTTGATCTAATCCACAATGCTCAAACTTTTTACTGATATTAGTTCAGTGCTCGGTAAACAGTGTGATAGATACTTCATATGGCTAAGTAAGTAACAATATTTTATGTTTATATTTAAGAATGTATTTATTTGAAACATATTCTTATCTGTATAGGCTGAAATGTTAAATTTTAAACCAAATAGGAAACTCAGTAAATTTGTTACTTATTCTGTCCATGAAGTAAACAGACGAATCAGATAATCCTTTTACTGATTTGTTTTGTTCCATGAGTTTCAAGTAGAACATATAGCTTCAAGTTTAAAAGTTCCCATAGTATTTGGTGTTGTTTTTTGAGTTGGCGTTGTTTGTCTCATGACCAGCCTTGCCTCTTTTTCGAATTTACTATGGACTAGTAAAGTAGGCAAGCTTTATTAGTGAGTCTGCTGAGAATCGAAAGTGAACCTTCCACGAGGCTGGGGACCATTTAACCTTAATTGTTACATACACGCTAATATATTTAGTAATGTTCATTCTGCAGTATAAAATGTAAGAGCACATTTTTCTGGAATTGAAGTAGAAACAAAATAAAAATAAATACTTAGTGGTTTGTTATTTAGGCAGGAACTGATAGCTAACGAAGTTTACTGAATTTAAAGGAAGTAATGCATTAATAACGTACTCAACTGACATGTGTCTGTTCAGAGTAAGTTGTTTTTCTAACCAAATGATGTACATCAAGATGACAGTACAAAAAGCCAGTCATAAGAACACAGATACTTGGATAGTCAATGTAAAATATGTTGTACTTTTTTCCATAATATGGTTTGTTGCATTTAAGACATGCAGGTATTCTTGTCTGTAAACTCGGTGTTTCAATTTTAAGTGTATACTAATAAAGTGAGAGGGTAGAAACTAAAATTGATCCGACTCACACATACGTACACAACAGCAGTTACAAACAAACAACTACCTAAAGTTAAATGAAACTTAGTGAATTTTTTTCTTACCTTCACCAAGGTTTTCAATGTTTTAACCTAATCCAAAATATTCTTCTAAAGGTTGATTTCGAGTAGGGAAGCTTAGCCAAGTGTGAAACACCCATTTATTATTATTTTCTTTCTAATCGTCTGTTCAATGTTTGTCACCTGTGAACCAAGTTAAATCTCTAAATAATTTTCGTTCATTTCTTTTTCAAGTGGACGACCTTACTAGTCTTATAGGTTGCTAAGGTGAAAGTCCGTGTAAGCCAAACTGCTTGTAAAACGTTTGAGATACTTACACTTAGATTGAATTCATTTACCACATACTTTACGTTATACTATTTCCTTTTACGAGACGGACTTTATATGCATTTGTATTATAACGTAGTCACATATAAGAAATGACAGAGGACGACGAAAATCTAAGACAGAGATTATTAAAGTGAACTGAATTCTCTTCCTTGAACTGTGTACACTTTTGTACAGAATTTATTCGCAATTTTGAGTTAATAGTATTCGAAGTATTGCAGTTTTATCAATATGGTTTCGTTCTCTGAACTGGATGATTCACTGCCTCTCTAGACTAATTCTTAAATGCAGACACCCGTATGATCCACCTGAGTTAGAAATCTTATTGATTATATTCTATTTTTCACTGTCGTAATAAAGTATTTCACTCAAAGAGTATTTAATTATTATTCTTTTAGAAATTCACTAATGACGTGATATATGTGGTATAATTTTACCGCGAACTTAATAATTTTGTCAAGCTATTCCGGTTTGTAGTTTTCTGATTGTAAACGAATCTAGGAGAGCCTTGGGTGTGTTTTCAGGCAACAAATGTATGCATAAAGTTATCGGAACATCACCATCGTGATAAGAAAATCTTCAAGAGAATACTTTGGTTTTGCTTTTTTTCGCTTGTCGACAATAATGTTTACCAGCGTATTCATACATCCGCAAACTGTTAAAAAAAGTGAATTTCATTTAACTTCATTAAAATATAATCCTACTGACAAAATGACATTAACATATTTTTGTCATTCTCTCTTGTTGTACCGCTTGAACTGTTACATTTCAAAAAAACATTGTTTTAATAATCGTTGATGCAAATTATTCTTTCCGTTATTCACTGTTTTTACAAACCTTTTAGGTGGAAAGAATTGAAATAAAAGACGTCCGACTACCCATACAACTTCAACGTGCTATGGCAGCCGAAGCTGAGGCAGCAAGAGAAGCTCGTGCCAAAGTGAGTTTATTTTTGAAGTTGTTATTTATAAATACTTGGGTTTAATATATTTTGTAACTTAAACGTTCTATAGATCGTTTTATATGAAAGCTACCAGTGTCAACTGTGAAAAAAGGTTTGCTTTCAAGATTCTATTGAAAACATAATTGTATCCACGATAATACTGTTAATAAAATTATTGTTTCGTCTTCTGAGTGATCAGCTTGCTGAAATACACACTTGAAAACTCTAGTCAATGCAGTTGTTGCATAGTATGTATTCAAGAAATAAAATCTTCAACTAGCAAAATCTAATACTTCTATTCATCCTTTGTTAACACTAAAGTGGGAAACTTGAAGTATACCAAACATTTCTATTCAGTGTATAAGTACATATTATTGTTTCTTTGTGTTCCGAATGGAACATACGGATTTAACAGAACATCATCACTTTGTGCTGCTCTCTGTAATACTCTTTAGCTGGCCCAATGATTGTGCAAAGTCTTTCGTCTCCTCCTAGTACGGTCTCTTCTATGTCACCCTTGGACGACTCACTCGTCGTTTCCCATCTCCTGACCCGTGATATCATTCAAAGATCTCCTTATCGTGTGCCCATCCATCTCCATATTCTTCTGCAAATTTGATGAGCAATAGCTCTTGAGTTGGTTCGTTCCCATAGCTTATTGTTGCTGGTTCTTTCTGGTCATGTCATCCCACATATGGAGAAAAGGCAGATGTTCATAAAAGTCCGAAAGCTGTTCAACGGGCTTTTCGTGACGCACAACGTATCTCACCCATATAGGTGATATGATTCAACACTGGGGTTGAAAATCCGAATCTTGTTTCTTATGCTCAGAACAGAAGATTTCAAACCTGACCACAGATTGATGAAGGTGTGTCTTGCTATTCTGATTCTCGCTTTGACGCGTCATCCGAGCTGTCGCCTGTGATTGAAACTATGCTTCCTAGATAGGTGAAGTGAGTAACCTCTGTTAGTTCTCACTTGTTGACGGTGGTTGGTGCTGGTTGTTGTTGTCGCTGTTCGTTGGCTTGTTGGTTATTTTCACCATTTCCGTCTCCACCTTCTCTGTGTTCACTAGGAGTCGTGTCTTCGCGGCCTGTTTCTTCATCCAGTTTGTTGGTTTTCGCCTGTAAGTCTTCGAGTTTGTGTGACATTAGACATAAATCACGTGAGAAATTCGGATCTTCTATAGTCTTCTTATTGGTCCAGCCTATTCCCCACACATGGTGTGGCGCATAATCCAGTCCACCATTATAAGGAACATCATTGGTGATAATAGGCAGTCTTGCATTGCAGAATCTTGATTTTGCGTTGAGTATTTTCTTCGCGTATCCAAACTTTTTGACATTAATAGTCATTTCTTATTAGAAATGTCATCAAAGTAAATGGTACTTGTCAAGCCAACATCAAGATATCAAGAATTCTAATTTTCGTTGGTAATTCAAAATATCATATTTGAAGGTGACTAGAAGTAATAAAGTTAATCTTAACTATTTAGTCCTCAAAAAGTTCCCATGAGTAAAATGAATGAAAGTTTACCTGTAAGACATCACTGAGGCATCTATTGTTAAGATGTCAAATGCTCCTTTTCTCTGTCTACGTAAACGAATCTATAGTGGAGAACAATAATTTCATGGGATCAATCTATCTTTATTGATTTATATATATATATATATATATACTGGAAATAAAATTGTTTATTGAGTCTAACGTTAGCAATAATTTTGTCACGTGATAATGATGCTTTTCTCAGACTAAGTATTCAGATGAAAATGAAATAAAAATTTATGTGAAATTATATCAGAATCATTTAGAAAAAAAATAAATGCCTAATGGAATTTTAATTTTCTTTGTCTACGTTCAGGGGATTAGGAATAATCATCTAGTAGCACTCGGGTGACCAAAAGATTCCTTTCATTGGTTCGTTGTGGATATTATTCTGTGGTTAAGCACAAAGATTTCTAATTTTTTGAATTTAAGAAAAATAAGAGCACATTTTATTCAAGGGAACCATAAGAACATAAACTATCAGAATATGTTATAAATTCTGGGAAAGAATATATACTCGTTTTTGTGTACTCTACCACCAATTTATACTCAAATTACTAAGTATTTTATCGTTCTGATAACTTTCGAAGCTTTCTTTTGTCACTGTACAACTAATTATACATCGCAGAACTCCCAGACTTCAATTTGGATATATTTTGAAACTCTTAAAATGTTATTTTACCTGTCATCAGATATGACAATCAGAACGAGCTCCTTTCGAACCATACCACTCAGAATACGCTGAATATCCTACGCACATCTTCATCATCTTTCAAGTTATTTGACATACCGTAATCAATTGTGCAGAAAAATATTGTGTAAATTTTCGTTCTGTAAGTTCTCAGTAAATCGTCAGTTTAGGAAATTTTGAAGAGTTGAAGGTTATTTTAAAAAAATCCTCTTTGGGTGTTGCGTGGCCCTGAGAGGTTCTAAGTTTAGTCATATAAAACACTTCTTCCACTCTGATGTTTACTGTTGGTCACACTCTGCGTTTTCATTTGTCGACCGAATAATAACAGTGTATGACATATGGGTGTATAGAAGTTTATTCACAATGAAAACTGTCATTTTCATAGTGAATGCATTTAAAATGAAATCATATTACTTCTGCTATATTTTGCATTTTGTTTATAACTGGTTTTTGAAATCGTGTTAGCCAGGAACGATTTGAAGCCAGTTACAAGTATCACTCAGAAACCTGAGGCATATTTTCAACACTTTCAAGGAAGTTCTATTTGAAATTAATTGAATTAGGATGAAAAACGTTGATGCAATACTTTTATATGATAGCACTAATAGTTTTCATGGTCATATGTAATCCTCTGGTCATATTTATGGAACTCTGTCACTTCTTGAGGTAACCAATTTCACTTATCCAGGCAGCATCGTTTCAACTATTGGACAAAGATGTCAAAACCAGGATCAGAAAGGAAAGATCTTGATCTTCATTACTCTGAAATCAGTAGAGAAATCTACTGCACTCAGCCTAAGGAGCAAGATTCAGATTTTCAACTCTACTGTTAAATCTGTGCTTGTATATGTTCCAGAGACCTCTATAGAACAGACTACAGAGTTTTATCAGTAGTTGTTCTCATTGGCTACATACCGAATATCGTATTGCTGGCCAGAAACGGTTAGGGAAAGGGAACTCTAGTTACAAACACACCGAAAACTTATTACCCAAGAAACACACAGAAAAAAATGGAAATATATTGGAAACACGCTGATAAGACCCTTGAGTGGCATCGAGCGCCAGGTTTTCAAGTGAAATCCGAGGGAAAAACGGTGAGCTGAGCATGGATTTAAGGGCGAGGTGGATGAGGTTATGTGAGTGGGAGATGAAAGCTAATGGGCATTCTTTAGGCCAGCCTAAGGGGACTGAAGAAATTAAGATGGTACGAAGATGTGTTGTTGCAGCGAAATGTTACACTCAGAACCCCACGAAATAATAATAAGTGATCCTTGACATGGTATCTTTCAAATGTTTACTATCTGCTTGAGTCATAATTCTTACACCTGTTAATTTTGACAGAGGTCTGGTGATCACTTTTTCACCCCATATATTTTATCAGTATATACAGTAGTGGATTTGTTCGTGTGGTTATAAATTATAGGAACCATGGGAGCAACTGAACTATTTAGGTTACCTGTTTTACAGCAGCATATCATTTAAAGTCATGACATGCTAACTTGTTGGATTTATACTCCTAACTTATTTACCACTGAAAAGTAAGTAGTAGATGGGACTATTCTGCTTGAAACTATTAAGCTGTAAAAAGTTGGACTTTCAATGTGTTTGTATGAACACACTGTGAATCAAAAGTATAATTAGATTCATTCTTCATACATTAACACTTAGTAGTTGATTATTCAAAGCGTAATGATTTCTAACAATTTGTTCCTCATATTCAGGTTAGCTGTGTGTGACGTGCAATAATGGTGTCATCAAATTAGAAATGATAAATATCAAGAGCAAATTTGCATTGATGTTTTGCAGATTATTTCATTAGAATAGGGTGAATCTTCAAAAAAGGAAGTTTTTCAATAAAAAGAAAGGTGAGAAAGAAAAGTTTATCCTCATCATTCATTTACTCAAATGTCTAAACTATGATAAGTGGATTTCCTGCAGCATACTTCACATCAGATCGATAAGGATGCTATTAGCAGATGAATTTGAAAAAAAAATGAACAGTCAAGATGAGCTGGCTAAAAAACAGAAAGACAGAACCATAATCCAAATGCAAATCAACTCACATATGCATATATATATATATATATATATATATATGGACTCATTCTTAAATATAGTCATGACATTATCATAGGATTATCTCATTCACGTTTCATTTTAATCGGAAGTGTTATGACAGTAGGATATAGATGATTACTGCAAGAGATACACGGAAAAATAAGAGATTCAACTCAAAAATTTCGTTAATAGTCAGAAACAAGTTCAGGTAGATATGCTCATTCTACAACAACACTATTTGATATGTGATATGACTTACAGTTACACGTGCATATGTAGTCGAAATTCACATACTGAGGATCATGATTAAATATGCTGAAAAATAATTGCGTTCAATTTTTTTGTTCACATTTAAATATAGTTGTCTGATTTTTCTATCAGACGCTAGTAAGTTAGTTTTTGATGCCCAGTCGACATAATCCTAAAACCTTGCTAAGTTAGTAGTAAGGGAGAGTCGGGTATGAGGCTAGCAACTTCACCCTGTAAAAGTAGAAAAATGACTGCTACCAAAACTTTAAAGCTCTAGTTTGAAGCCGTATGTTCCACTCAGAGCTTAAAAAGAATGCAAAAATATGTGAAATTTCCCAGTGGCAATAATTCGCATTTGATGAGGTATCACAAAACCGTGGAACTAGGGGACGTAACTTGCGTTACATTATGATTAGTGGTTAAAAGCTTACACTAATTATTAAGATATTTGGAGGGTACATAAATTTAGCTTACAATTCAGAATCAGTTTTAATTACAAAGTCTAGGGAAACTTAAATCATATTAGTTCGGTTTAAAATCAGACTGCCAGAATAATTTAACACATGACATCGGTGAAACAGAACCTTCAGTCAGGACTGTCGGGAAATTGTTTTTTATACTTAATGCTTCAGAAGATTTTACATTTGACTTATGTCTTTTTTTAAATGAGCTAAGTAAATAGATGGTTGAAACCATTCTTGTTTGGGAGTTTAACAAGCAATGAAATGTTTATAGTCTACAGTTTTAAAAGGTAAGATGTTTCTAATTTTTATGCATCCTATGCACTTTAACATACCTAAGATATATAATCAGGAAATGTTAGGATAAAGTTAATGTACTAACCACGCCCTAATTACCAGGTAAACGTTTTAATCATTAGTGAGGAAGAATGACAGTAATCATCCTTTTCAATGCTGAAGATATCTATTGAAACTTTCACTGTACTCTCAGTGAATCTTCAAATGGTGCATCATAAGAGAATTATGAAAATGGTCCAGATTTTATCCGCCTTTGATTAATTGAAAAACAGTCCTGTTGTCGTCAAGTTGTTATTCATAAAGTGGTTGTGATTAAAAGAGGTCAATATGGGAAGTTTATTAGAAGTGTTGTTGTTAGTATTCTGTGTTGAAAATGGTTTAACAAACAACCTTAATGGAAGACGTTAGGAAAATCTTCCTTGTTTTAAACAAAAATGCTCTCTTTAGTATGCTTTGCATAGCTACTTTTTACTGTAGACACATTTCACTGCATAATACACAGTACTGAGTTTATCACCGATATGACGAAACAAGTTCTTCTTTCAATTCAATTTAAATCATAGAACTTTGCACTCTTGGTGTGATCTATAGGAAGTGTTTTGGTACCAAATAACCTATTTGTTGGTTGTGGCTTCCATAAGTATAGCCTTTGTGAATATTACTGTTTGAACGATCATTAAAAATGATGAAATTCAACATGCATTTCACTTAGAATGCAGTAACTACTAGATGCGTAATTCTGTATAGATCAGAATGTCTCTGCGGATAACGCAAAATCTAAATTTATTCCAACAATATCAAAAACGCACCTTGATGCGGTAAAAGTTGTTCTACTAATCAACAAAATAACATCAAAAATACAAAATAGGCCTCAACACTGCTGTTTAGCAGCTGTGCCGTCCGAAAGTTATTCAGGTACAAAATGTGAAGTGTACAACAAAGTGAAACACAATTATAAACTACCTGAGAATCAGTAAGGATGTACCCAACAAGGTGAGATCAAAACTGTCTGCATGAATCCCACAGAACAAACACGCTTCCCAAGGAAAGACTATGGTCAAGCGGTCATTACACGGAGTAACCGTGACTCTATTCAAATGAATTTGTACTAGCGAAACAACTCGTTATCAGCAAACGTCAGAACAGTGATATTCAGCCTAGCGGAAAAATATCAGTAATTACAAAGCCCAATTGAAACATCCAAATAAGTAACAGTATTGTCAGTAAATTTTTAATAGAGAGATTTGCAGATCTGTTATTTTGATTCCATTGTACAAGATCACTTATGAGATGTGGATAAGTAATATTTCGACTGTAAATTTAGTCCAATATACCAGGGAATTTAAAAAAAATAAAAGAACAAGATAAATAAGTCAAGCTGCAATTAAATGGTCATGATGTTTTGTGTTGTGGATGACAAAGGGAGAGAGAAAAGTGTTGATTTTGAAGCTGCGTGAGTTAAATGTGAATTTGAAAAGTGCTAATCAGGTGATATTCAGCAGGAAGAGAAAAATATCAAAATTATGAATGTGGTAAGTAACAAAGCTAAGTGTAAAGCACCATTGCACCAGGGCTTTCGGACTTAGCACTTTGACCAACAAGTATCTAACTATTAAACATGATGATGAACAGTTTCTTAGTTTCCCAAGAAATTTGAGTTGACATAACACCATAAATGTGATTATGCAAGATAAGATAATTAAAAGGGAATTGCTCATATCATTCTCATGACAAAACCGGTTTCAGAAAACTCACCGACGCCGTAAGCTTCATATTCAAAGAAAAGAATGTGTAAAATGAAAGCACAAATCAAGCAGAAGTAGATATTATTATAATATATTTTCAGTAACGCCAGATAATTTTTGAATAATAGCTAACTCATCTACAGATTTTCTCACCTAAACCCTAGTTGTATACTGTAATGAATCTGATGTGTTACACCTATAAATTATTTGTGTAATTGACATTTAGAACACCTTAAAAACGCAAAGAAATTTTCAAAGGCAAGAGCAAATGAAAACATTGAAAATAGGTAGCAGATTGTACGAATTCAGAAGACGTTTAGTATCTATTTTTTAATGAAAATCACTAGAATATCTATCACTACTTAAACACCTAAAAAATTAAGGATTGTTTATGACATTCTAAGTGGAAATAGCTGTCCAGAAAAGCACATGAACGGGACAATATACACATTTACATAGCTTCATTCCTCTTGAGTACAAAATATATTTGAATTCACTAATAAATATCTGATGACTAACTTGTCAATAGTATAAAACTACTTATTTATTTTCCAGTTCTCAGTGAGTGCTCAGATTTAAGGCTTAAAGCTGGAATAATGGAGACACGTGTTTCCGAATTTCCAAAATGATGTGATTTGTTTACAGATGCCTTTACGGATGATACTCACGGATTCACTGCTTATTTTAATTATACTTTTTATACTCTTATCTCAATCAACAACACGTCATTCTTTTTTTCCATATTTGAAGGCAAAACGTGCAGGTTGAAGTTTTCCGACAGAACAGGATGAGATTAATATTTCCTGAAGCTAATCGTTCAAAATTTTCAAGTAATCTGTTACGATGCTTCGTCATGATAACAATATCCTTATTATCTAACCTCGTTTTATTCTTATGACGAAGAATGAACATAGGTATATTCTGGAACAGTTTTATTAATGATAAAATGGTCGAAATTTTACTGCTTATATAATTTATACTATCAGTCCCTGATTTTATTTTAAAAAATTTTCTATTTGGAGTGTTATGTAACAAACATTTTCTCTTTCGATTTCACAGGTTACGTTGAGCAATTTCCATTCAAAACTACAGTTAACAGTTGAAATTGGTAGCTATATGTAAAGTATTTCAACCATGCTTTCACTCGAAGTTGCTCCAATCACGTGTCTTATATTAATTTTTTCTCAGGTAATTGCTGCGAGAGGTGAGCAGGAGGCAGCCAGGTCACTGAAAGAAGCTGCTAAAGTCATATCTACTTCACCCATGGCATTCCAATTAAGATATTTACAAACTTTGTGTGCAATTTCAGCTGAAAAGAAATCAACCATTTTTTTCCCGGTACCAATTGATATTATGCAGAATCTGAGCAGTGTTTCTGGACCAACGTTGGGACAATTATTTGACATGAAGAATCAGAAAATAGAGAAAAAGCCTTTATTGGGTAAACCACAAATTTCTAAACGCAGTGAACTGAAGTCTCGTGATTCTATTGGATCCCTCTCAAGTCATTCAGCTTACGTCTGTAGTCAGAATGAAGCGAAACATCCCCATCCCCATATACCATTCTCAGCACAACACATTGCCGAACAGCCCTGGCCTCAGTCATTTGATATGAATCAGGATGTTCAAGAGTCCAACTGGGCAAATGACAACGGGGATACGCATAGCGATACAGTGTGATATAACTTACAGTATCCAAAATGATAAACTAGTAATTTCACACTTAACTAATGATCACAAACATCCTGATCAAACCTAATTTCGCAGACGATGAACATATATTTATACATATATGCACACCATTCTCATAATTGTGTGTTCTTTCCGTCTCGAGAATTGGTTATTTAGATATTTTTATGAATACATTTATTGACAATCTATTTAAAATAACACATGTGAAAAGAAATAAATATGATAATATAAAATGGGTCTAGTTATCTCACTTAGATATACACCAAACAGGCATTAGGAATTTTATTCCGGGAATGAAAATGTCTGTTAAGTAACTTTTCAAAAAAAGTGTCATTTTATAGTCGAATTCCCAAATGACTGGCTGGTCCTACACCCTTTACAAAATCACTTTGTTTTTCAAGCTCTCACATGTGTACAAGCATCATACTTCACGCTAAGGAAGATAAATCAGAACATTATTAGTCTGTATCCGTTCACTGTATTTCTTGGGATGATTAACAATACATAATCTAAACTGCTTCACAGAATAATTTGTGCACGGAGTCAGACTGGATCATTATAAAATTGAGTAAAATAATTCCAGAGTGTTTAGGAAATCATGAACGTTTCACTGCGTAAGCCACAACTTCAGTTTTTTACTAAATTGATTAACTAGCTTAACATTTAGGGTACCAACCATCAGTAGTCCAGAACTTGTAAGTCACAGAGCATCGGATGACTTTGAGATTTATCTAATTCTAAATCTTGAAATTATTTCTTATGTACTTTCATAAAAATGGCGCTTTTCTTACTGACTGTTAGCCATTCACTGCCGAGAAACAGGTATTATCATTGGTTTTTAACATTCTTTTGTAAAGTGTTTCAGGCATTAGACAGCCAATTTGTCACTTTTACACGTAGAAAGTCAAAGGTCTGTTTCTTTTTAAATCTTCAGAATATACACATTGATGCTTTTGAAATAGTAAATTGGAAAGAAAGCCATTGTATTTGCTTTTTCCACCTTTTTTGTTTCATCGATTAGCATTTCTCCTAACAGAAGTTTTCCAGTAAATTAGTTACCGAATCACTGAGAACTAGGAATTACTGAACAGCTGCTTCGTCCTAGTTTGAGATTCTTCATCGCCAAGCACCCATGAACCCAGCTAGTATATAATGGCTTATGAATTCCCACTTCTGCTACAACTAGTCACTGTCATCAGAGAGTAGCTTTCCTCATTTGCGAGCCGGTGTGACTAGCTGGTCATGGCCCCTCAGTATAACCCCAGGCAATTTCGTACTGTAGCCAGTCACTAGTTGTGATTAGATTAATTTTCAAGTATTGCTTTTTCGAGATTTGGTTATTGTCAGTTAATTATTGATAATTATTGAGTGTAGGTCAACAGTGATTGAATTGATTTGACAGATTTCGTCATAAATCGTAATCATTTAGGAATCAGTGAAAGGTAGATTGCACTGGACAGTTACCAGTCAAATAGTAACACACCCATGCTTTAATCTAAAGTTTCTAAGTTCAAATTTTAGTGTGGATGCAGATACATATTTCTAAGCAGTTCTAGTTCTACTTCGTTTGCAGTGGTTTCTTAAGGGGTGTGGGTTGGTTAAGAAGTCTACCTTAAAATCACTTAAAGCGGAAAATAGAGTGGAATATATAACTGTCAGACCTGTGAGTTTACCATTACTGCATTCTTTTGGGTACTAACTTGTGAAAGTAACTGTTCTAGTGAACAATGCACCCGTGATCTCACTAACTGTTCTTAATACAACATTTATTAGCATTTTCAAGGTTTTCTGCAAGTCTAAGCGCATTTTTTTGATCCAATAAAAGTATTGCAATTAAGTATGGCGGCTGTTAAATTGCGAAGCTTTTGGATGGCCTGTTATTATTTTTCAAGCCCTCTAGTCAGTTGTAAATTTCATTTTCAATACTTTTACTGTAAAAAACAGTCTTTGACTCGTACTTATGATATGATTAAAATCGTCGAAGTTGCATAATCATGTTTTTAGCAAATGTCAGTGGAATTACTGTCATGCCGACTGATGTTGTACATTCCTCATTCTATGCGTCGTCGGATACTGAATTATAAACATGAAATTTCGACGACTTGATATCAGCTGCATAACTGACTAATGAAATAACTGCCATTAATTACTTCACGCTATGAGGTATTACTTTCTCAGTTTTCTTATCAATGACTACGAGCTGCACTTAGTAGTGCTTACAGGTGCATCTGATGCTTATTTATTCCGGGATTAATTTGTATTCAAATAATCATTATACAGAATTATGTTTCAATGCTTTATTTACTGAATAGTCGAAGTAACTATAAATAATATTTTCGCTGAAAGATTCACCAAATGGCTTGTTCCAAGTATTATCGTAATCATGTTTTTCAGTGCTCAGCTTATCACCCACTTTTTCGTCGGTTTAAAGAGAACTGGAACCACTTTAGTTAGAGCTTACTTTGTGAAACCACACAAAGTTCACAGTACTGCACGGAACCTCAGGTAATTTTATTTTTCATCTAATTCGGCGTCTATTTATACTACTACAAAACTAACCAACGGCTGGAATTTTGAAAAATGTGGTGAATAGGAATTTATTATTTCGTCAGTGTCATGAAAATCCAAGTGTTTTAACCACCATAAGAAAACAAAAATATCGATGGAAACGTGTCCAAAGTGGGTAAACCTACAAAACAATAACAACGACTTCCACAATAGTGATAAATCAGAGGTGAAACAGTTAGTCCCTAGAGCGTAATATGATTTCGCACAAACAAAAGTAGATTTTTGATGTAATAAAATAAAGAATGATTCTAAATTGAAGATGTAACGATTGATTATTCTTGTGTGTAAGTTTCTGAGCAGTTCAGTACGAAGCATTGAACATAGGACTGTGTACTGCATTGATTCTTTGTTAATTACTATTTCATCGCATAGGGAAGTAATCCTAACAACTAAATTTTAGTGTATCACTTTCATAGTTGCAGTTATTTATAAAGTACAGTGTCGAGTATTTCACTTATTACATTTTTCCTCTTTTTTCCAGCTGGATAATGAATAAATTCCTTTATATTACATTCAGATATAACTATTTCTACAGTAATATGGAGTAATCGAATATTTGCTAAAGTAATCCAAATAATAAAGACCAGAAAGATAATAGTGTGTTATTTCATTATTTCAGTTCTTCCCAGCCACTTTCAGTCTACCGAAATGTTAGACAAAATGACCCGCTAGTCAGTCTACCATTGTTATTTAGGTTAAATGTCCCGTTTATTTTATATCGTCATGCTTTGCTACAAATAGTTTAAATTAATGTAGGTGATAGCCCTAGACGTCAGGCTTTACTTTTGGACACATAGATGACTATTATCCGTATGATCTCTTAAGTCGAACTTTTCCCTGCGTGATTTAAATATCCTAATATGTTATCTGTAATTTCAAGGTTCTGTATTACAGAAACTGATATTCGGAAGTCATGTAGATACACTGTAACTATTGAAAAGTTTTTATTTTCCATTTCATATTAAACTTTTTAAAAGATTAAAGTTGTAAGAGTTACTCAGATTTAAATTTATAATTTATCAGTGTACATTTCAAAATATCTGCGTAAGAAACAAAATAAACAGCTAGACAAGTGCATGTCCAAATGTTGTATGTCTTCTGATGTCTACTGTAACACTTCAACGCACACTTGCATATTTGTTCATGCTTTCGGAAATGCACGGACCATTAGAAAGATATGAGTTAGGCAAATACTAGCAAAGATAATTATAAATGCAAATATTTGCTCTAAGTACATATATCGGAAACGACTTCTGTCGGAAGTAATCATAATTTTATCTTATTAAAAATATATTCTACATATGCCGTCAGCTTATATTTACATTTGTATGTTTGGCAGTGGAAGCTCTTCGGAATGAAACTGCGATGAAGTGAATAGTGGAGTAGCATTTTCAAAAACGTTTAACCGGAGAATCCTTATATTTTGCTGTTATTCACACTCCGCAAAGTGAAAATCACTCCATAGATTATGTGAGTTGATGCAGTGGCTTTGTGAATTTCCTATTGATAGCCACTGGGAGATTAGTGAAGAGTAATAGCTGTTTTGGAACTTCTGCTGATGCACCTTCTATCACGGACTTTTTCATTTTTGAAAAAATTGCATCAGTAAAACTTAGAGCAGTCTGACAAATCAATCTGTAGAGATATTTAAATACGCATTTTTAGACCACAACTTTTATTCAAACAAACATACTATATGCGATTCTGCTACCATAATACTTAATTTCCTACTACCAGCTGAAACAACCAGTTTGAGAATAATCAGTATCGAGGCAATGAGTGAAGTCTTTATGACATATTCACGTATCCAAATGTAGAAGAAATTTGAAATCGTAATAAACATTCTGATGTTTCAAATTATATCGTGTTTATTTAGAACAGTGAAATCTATGAGGGATTAGAAAAACAGCAATAAAAGCTACCTGAAACAACTGAAGTCTTGCTTAGTTGATCAGAAGGGATCAATTTTCGAAATGCTTCTCGGTAAAATGTTTTGGAGCACAATTTTTCTGTTCTGACATCGCGAACTGTTTGAAAATCTATTACTCTATGCTCAATTTCCCACTTTGTTCAAATTTGTATCGATTAAGTATTTAGAAACATGAACTCAGTATCACTTAACTTTAATGTCATCTTTTATCAGAAGTCCTACAATAAGCAATTTCTAAGAAACGCCATTGCCTTATTAACAGTATTAATAAATACATTTATTCCATGTGCGTAAGACAAATCTACACGCCCTCATTGATTATTATCAACACTTCTGACCTTACTTCCTCTTTGAATAGAATTAAAAAGTCTTAGATAAAGACAACATGGAGTCCTCTTTTCTGTCTGTCTCCAATATTTTTGTTTTATGACGAAAACTCTTAGTTTTCCTGCTAAATCATTTTCACCTTTTTCTTGGGATTAATATTTTCATTGTTGATCTACTGAATCGATAAGAATAGGATATTGCAAAGAAACATTTGTTTCCCTTTCTTTCAGCAAAAGAGTTCTGAGATAATGTTTAATGGGTTTATATATATATATACATATAAGTGAAAGATGAAAACAAAAGGAAACATACTAGTAAGATTATGAAATCAAAAAAGACAGCAAATTGTTCTCACAGAAAGCATAAACAACTAGTCTGGATGTGTTACGCACCTAGAAAATGTTTTAGTATACCTAATAAGACAGTCGTTCCTGAGTAGGCATTTGAGAAATATTTCACCAGCCACTAGCCACATATGATAACTAGTGCAGTTATCAAACCTTAAGTGTTCTAGTTGTAATTAATTCAGTGTAAAGAAAATGATAATGTGAATGATTTTTCTGAGATAGTTAATAGTTTAAACAATTTTTCATATATTGATCTGTCAATAGAACAGTATGGCAAAGTATTAAGACAGATGAATGTACGTTCAGTGCATCACAAGTTTTATTCAGTCTATTGTTTGGAACTTTAATTTTGTCTACTTAACTGGAGATTGTTAGAGATAAAATTATTACCTCTTTAACACTGAGAGTTGTTTCAAACTACTCAGTTTACAGGGAAAATTAATCGAATGGAGACAGCTGATATGGGGATAAACGCCCTCTTCATTGTAAATTGGAAAATGCTTCCAGTAGCAGGCTTCCAATTACGTTTACAACACACAAACATATAAATACATACATATATTGAAACAGCAGTAAAATTTGTCTAATGTGTACATTAACTAGTCTCTATGC